CGAAGATAGTGTGTTGGTGGATGGATCCAGAAGATGGAAGGACCCTAAGAGTTCATGCCTGAACAGGAGATGCTCGTTAAGCAAGTGTCATCTAACAAACACTGACCTAGTGTTGGATCCCAGGCAAGCCATGGAGCATTCTAAGCCTCCCATGTTTTATAAACATCAACTTGAGTTCTTTATGTTTAATGCATTAGGTTATAAGAGTTGATTAGAAACACTTGATGCATATAATTTCCTTGTCTAGAAATATACCTTGAACCCTATGTAGGTCCAGGATCGAATAAATGCTTAGTCATGCTTAGTTCGGTAGAAGTCGGGTGATTTCCTGTCACCTGTGAGCTATAGGTGGATACCTCGTCGTGGTTGGCTATATTTGCTATCTTGGAAAAGAACCATGTGATGATGTAATTGGAGGACGGATGGAGTCTATGTTGTAGGTTGACACATGTGATTCCATCTATGCCGCTTAAGGACCACATCGTTGTTGGTCCTCGGTCATTTTGAACACAGCCTCTCACTTAGGTGGCTGAATAACTCGTTCTGACCGTGAAGCTAAGTAGCTCAACTCAGGCTGGGCTTCGTTCTGTACGAGTGCGCACACTAGTGGTAGTAAGGATGTGCAGGGAGCCAGATGTGAGTCCAAGGGCAGGCCAGGCCTGATCATCCTGGCAGTTGGTTAGTCCCTGAGTGTGCGGCACTGATCGAACCCGCGACAAATGACCTGAGTTGTACCAAAGGTGACCTAAGACTACCTTAGCACAAGTATGTCTGGGTTGGTGTTAGGATTTCTGCCCATCTGGTTGCAATTGATTCGAATCTCCGTCTCTCCCGGATAGTGAGAAACTTGACTGAGCTTCCTTCATCGTAGTAACACTGGATGGAACATGATGGTTATGAAGATTATATGATAACCTAGATATGGTTACTAATGTTTGCTTTAGCTTAATTAAATGATTGCTCTAGAATAGGTGCAAAGTTAGCCATAATGAGTTTCACTAAACTTGATGCTAAAATATTGACTAAAAGATTGAAAGTAAGGACTCATGATAGTAATGCACTTTTTGCAAAGTTATGCTATCCAACCAGCTCCACGAAATAAGCCTTGCATATCCTTGAGAGTCTTTTTATTTCTCTCCTAACGGATAAGTCTAGCTGAATATATTCGAGTACTCAGGGTTTCTCCCACCATATTACAGGTGAAGTTTTTGGCCTGCTAAAGATGGTGGCTAACCGCCGGTGGGCTCGGTGACTCTATATTTATTTCTCGTCTATATGCTATTGTTGGAGGATGTTACTTACACTAGCAGTGTATTTGAAACTTATGTTATTGTAACCATTCTAAAGCTATGCTGTTTTAGCTATCATATTTGTAAATTTGGTAACATATTATTATTTGTGAACTCAATTGTAAACATTATTTCTGTTGTAACTACGTATATGTGATGTGTATTTGCTTAATCTATTATGGTCTTGGTTGTGATGTGGATTTACCAAGGTCCTTCGTGACACTCGGCAGACTACCGGGTTTATATAAGTAAAAGTATGTGCACGTCAACGTGTTAAACGGGGGCAGCCATACTTGATCTTGTATAAATTGGATGGTTCTATCACAACTGGTCATCCCTAGTCAACGTGATGGGCTGATCTGACCAAGGGAGGTATCTGGGGTCAGCGATGGTGTTGGTAGCCTTGATGGCTAGAACCCGTCGAGAGGTGAGCTTCTGGTCGTGCCTATTCTCGAAGGCTGCTCGACCCCCGAAGATCGTATGGATGGTCTTGCTAGGGTCTTGTAAAGCGCCGCCTGCATCCCTAGGGGGCTCGCGATCCTTGCCCACGTCGTCATCATGGTCGTCTGCTTCTTATTATGTCTTCAAGTAGGGCCTTAGCAAGGCCCATACACTCCCTCATGGTGTGCTTTGCACCCTTATGGACCAGGCATGGGCCATCGATCATCTTGTCGAACTACGCGTTGAAATTGCGCTTGGCACGAGGCTGTTTGATGGAGCCAATGAAGCTGTCAGGTCGGCAGCATCGTAGCTGCCTAGGTTTGGAGCTCTCAGGTCTGTCATGGCGGTCGCGATCATTGGGACGGTGTTCGTGGTCATCGCGATGCCGGTCACGGTCATCGTTGCGCCAGTCGTCACGGTAGTCATCATCGCAGTGCGCTGGGTGATCGGTCCAGGGAACCTGGCTAACTCCTTCTTTGTGGCATTGTTCGGCCTCCTCAGCATCGGTGTACTGGTTGGCCGTCTAGAGCATCTTGCCAATCGAGACCAATGGCTTCCTATTGAACTTCCTGCATAGCTCGTCGTGATGATAGAGCCCGCGGACAAAATAGGTGATTACTTCAGCTTCAAGGATGTTAGGAATTTGGTTCCTTACTTCTGAGAAGCACCGAATGTAGCTCTAAAGGAGCTCTCCTGTCCTTTGGTAGATCTTGGCTAGGTCATACTTTGTTGCCGGCCGTTCATAGGTCGCCTTGTAGTTTTTAATGAACATTCTCTTAAGGTCATCCCAAGAGTCAATGATATTTGACTAGAGGCTTGTGAGCCAATTCATTGTGGTGGGCTAGAGCATAACTGGCAAGTAATTTGCCATCACGTCGGTGTCACCACCGTCGGCTCGTACGGCGATGGCATAGCTTGTCAGCCAGTGCTCGAGATTGGCGTGGCCATCATACGGTTGGACCCCATAGATCTTGAAGTTTGTGGGCCACTATACAGCGTGGAGTCTCATCATGAAAGCTCATGGGCCATCAGTGACGATGATGGCGTCACCAGTAGCTTGTGGAGCGACGATGGCTGTGACTCTGGGGTGGCGGCGCCAGCAGCAGGTCGGACAGCAGGCCAAGCAGCATTGCCGGTGGTAGGTCGAGCGGTGTTGCTAGAGTTAGCTAGCTCAAGAGGCCGAAGAGTGGCCTCAGGATTGCCCCATTCTTGGTCATATTCCTACCGGGTGAAGGATTTTGCCCTCATTGTGCGAGTTGCGATTCCTGTTGATGCGATGGCGAGCGTCGTGGAGCTGGTTGAGGTGGCTCCGAATGCCTCCACCATGAGGCTGATTAACCTCCTAGTTGACATTAGGGTTGGAGTAGCTTGGTGGGTCGCCTGGGTTGATGATGTAGTTGCCTCTTGCACCCCCTAAAGATAGGGGCCACCACCATGGAAACAGCTTCCACCTACTCGATGAGAGCAAGCCCGCCTTGACCTTCTAGATCAGTTCGACCTGGTGGAGTGAGACGGAGCTTGATTTTCATGAATTTCGAGGACCTAGACTGCCACTGCTTTGAGCATGGCGGTGGCCTTAGCAAGCTCGGGAGTCTGCTGGAGCCTGCTAAGCTTGTTCGTGGCCACGGCAAGGTTGGTGCTTGGCATTGGCTGGACCACATGTTCATCGACCTGAATGAACTCCTCATCAAGGTTGCGGGTGACGTGGTGGCCTCTTTGCTGATCGGCGCCTCTGCCACAGATGGCCATGCCACCCCGGCGTTTGCGGCGGCCGCGGCAGCTTCTACTTCCCTACGATGCCGAGCACGGTTGACATTCCTTCCTTCTCAGATGGCATGCTGGGAATTGGTTTCCCCATCCTAAGGGGGCTATCACAACTAATCATGAAGAGCTCCCTAGGGAAGAACCTGGGCGGCGACGGAGCCTCGGCGAGGATGTCGATGACGGTCTCGGTGATGGTCTTGGTGGAGCCCTCAGATTCAGCACCTGGATCCTCCTCCAAGATGGGGAGTATGGAGTCATCGTTGAGCTGATGAATCTGCACCATGTTGATTGCTAGTGCAAACTGGTCGGCAACGGGTAGATCGGGCTCGGAGAGCAGATGGACATGATCGATCTGGTCGGCATAAAGATCGTGTAAGGCATCTTGGTAGATGGAAGCTATGTTGGCCAACCCATAGGACTAGGTGGCCATGGAGTCCTGCGCTGGAGCTTCTTGTCCGGCCCTAGGCGGACCGGATCTAGAGAGAGGTCAGTGTTGCACCGTGTGCCCCATTGGAGTCACCGTGATGGTCAGATTTGTATCATGCCACCTTAGGTGGCGCGATCAAGCGGAACGCTTGGTGTAAACCATCGTGAAGTGCTAGAGCGGTGGGAACTCGTCGTCGTGAGAAGACCGGACCATGACCGACTCTATGAGCGTCAAGCACTCAGCTAGCTTTTGATTGACCCAATCTATAGAAGAGATTAGATCGTCCTACTAGATAGGCTTCCTTGGCTAGCGTGGCACTGGTGGGTGAGTTGCTGGAGAAAAAGGCAACCCCAAGAGAGATCCTGAGATCGGATCTGCTGGTGCAGCAGCTGATGCGATTGACATAGATTGCCTTGCACCAGCTGGATGATTTCCCCATCACTGTTGGCATTCACGACCCAGGTGATGGATCCGACCCTGAAGGATTGGCCGAGCCTAGGAGCGAATGAAGAACTCAGAAGACGTACCATCTAACTCACCATGAGATCAAGCGCACACCACTACCTGGCGTGCCAACTATCGACAAAAGATGCTTAGTAGTCCATCGAGGGGGGTTACCCGCGATGGTAGATTTGTCGGGGAGGTGAGCGAGTTCAAGAGTGAGATGGTGACAAGACACAAGATTTATACAGGGTCAGGCCATCAGCTTGACGTAATACCTTAATCCTATGTCCCATTGGTTTATATTGGCTATCGTATATGATTGCGTGTGTTTTTAGGGGTTCCCCTACCTGCCTTATATAGCTTGGGGGTAGGGTTACATGCCGATCAGGTCTAAGTCTAATCGGGGAACAGATAATCTTGACATGGAATCTTACATTCGGCATATCCTAATTGATTCTATGCAATCTTCAGGATGTTGCCGAGATGCCTTGCGGCATGCGCCAGGCAACACCATGCACCACAAGCCTTCGTCTTGTGGGTTGGACCACCCCTACCGGTACGGCCCATGTAGTCCACCGTGGGTACCTAGCGTCAGACCCCCCATAGCGATGTTTGTGCAAATCAACTACGAGGCGATGGAGATTTGGGAGGTGATCTATCCAGGCACCAACGTCAAGCGGTCTCCGGACCGACAGGCCATGGGGGCACTAATGCGGTCAGTGCCCAAGGAGATGTGGGGAACTCTTGGCGTGAAGAAGACGGTGAAGGAGGCTTGGGAGACGGTGCAGACCATGCGGGTTCAAGCAGATCAGGTGAAGGAGGTCAGCGTTCAGAAGCTGCTCAAAGAATTCGAGAACATCGAATTCAAAGAAGGAGAGCATTGAAGCCTTTGGCATGTGGATCACCAACCTCATCGCCAACCTCAAATCACTCGGTGAGACGGTTGATGATCCCCGTGTTGTCAAGAAATTCATTCATGTTGCACCACCCCGTTTCAATCATATCGTAGTATCCATAGAGATGTTCTGTGATGTTAAAACTCTATCAGTGGAGGATGCAGTGGGACGGTTGCGTGTGGTGAAGGATCGGTTAGTGGACAAGGTGGAGCAAATCACTAACAAAGTCACCCGTTTGCTACTTGCTAAAGAAGAAGATTGGCTTGAGAAATATAAGCACCGTTTCCAATCCAATCAGAAGGAGGGAGGTAGCAGCGATGGTGGTTAGGGAAAAGGAAAGGCACCAAATTGATCTGATGCAGGTGGCTCAGGCAATACAGGTGCTGTAAAGCTCACCTCTGAAGGCACATCGAGGTGAAAGGGGAGATGTCGTAGTTGTGGCATCTATGGCCATTGGTGTGAGGGACCCGCCACATTAATTCACCTAAAATGAGTGTCATCCACTTGACCAGCTCAATTTAAGCAAACCAACCTCAGCGACTCCCCTAGGAGCGCACTTGGCAAGTCCTCTTCAGAATTAGGTTGAGTATCATACCACGATAGCCTCCACAACTCAAGATTACATTTTATCATCGGAGCACATAATAATTCAGCGGAAAACATATATTACAAGTCTTATTAAATTTAACAAGTTAATTATACAACATTAAGGAAGACATTGATTCAATGCAATCATATGTAGTGCAGACCAACTACTATCTTACCAAACACAACTATGCTACGATATACACTCTCACTAGTAACGGGTAGTCGCCTTGCCCATGGGCGTCACTACCATAGCTTGGATGGCTCCTGCCATTCACCCACTGCCACCAACGACGGGGTGAGATGGCTGCCAATGTCCTTTACCTACAAAACAACTTAACGGCAGCACCGTAAGTACATTGCGTACTCGCAGGACTTAATTCCAACATATAAATATTTGGTGGATGCAAGAGGATTAATAGGCATTTGTACATTTGTATAAAAGCGCAAGGTTCATTAAAAGAATGACATGCCCATGATTCATAATTGAAAGTATTAGCATTAAGGTTCATGATAGCAAGACAAGTGTTCAACATATGTAATTCATATCATCATCAAGTTTCATCATCAACACTACAATGGGTATAGAAGAAGGAACAACCGGTTCTGTCCCGAAGGACTTCAGGCTTTCGAAAGACTCTGGCAAAGGGTAAAACTGTACCCACACAGAAAATACGGGACTAACCAGCATACTCTGGATCCTGGAATAAGGGTTGCCTCATGATTTCCATCCTTTCCCTAATCTGGCCAGAATATCCGATGAAAGGTTCGACTGATTCCCCGGTCAATGTCTCGGACAATCCCGACCGACGCAAACCCCCTTGCCAGTTTCATGAATAAACCGGTCGCAATTAGTTACTTGGCTTGTCAACCCCATCCGCAACATGTGGTCTGTACGGGTGGTTACTCGGACTCACTATCCCAATGAACGGTCCTTAGCTGCTCCGCAAGCTATGTCACTTGAGATCCCATACTCACAGTGACCTTACCCCTTGCAAGATTAGAGAGTAACAAGGTCACCATCAGATTATATCTCAAGTTAAGATTGGTCCCTTGAGGCAGGTTTGGGAGACCAAAGTCTTTTGGAAACCTTTGTTTGGTAAAACAAATCATTATCAGAAACGAGTTCAAATCAAAGGGTTTTGATACTTGTTTTGCTTTGAAACCATTTCTCCCTTTGAAAGGTAAAGCTTTCGCAAATAAATTGGTTTTCCCAAAGCCTTTCTAAAGTGACACTTTTGAAACTAGAAGGGATCAAGACTTTATAAAAACAAAACCTTTTCGCAAGCCTTTTGTTTCATAAATCGTCTATAAATCATTTTGGAAACAAATCAATTTTTGAAGAAGGTTCAGACTCTCTTTTGAATGGGAAAGGACCCGCCAAAAGGATTTATAATTATCCTAGTCATATTTGATTACCTATGAACCAAGTTAATCCCCTCATTCATTTTAGTAGTTAATTAACCTGGTGTAGCATCCTACTTGTGCAAGCATGAGTTCCCTTCTCATACTCGACTTCTACCGTTGCTAAGCAAGTAAGCAATTAAGCGCTACCAACCCATTGATTAAATGACGGCTCTAATTAATTGATGAGTAATTCTAACTTAGTGAAGCATCATTAAGTTATTAACCAAATCTACATGAGATGCATAACTCATAATGAAACACAACTAAGTATCCAAAATAGGGTTCATAATAGTGGGGTGCCTGCCTGTTGGAAGAGCAAGGTTCTCTTAGCATGAAACATCTCTTGGCGTCTCTACAATATCACATACCTATATGTATGCACTTGTATAAGATACGTATGCATGCATGTCATCGTATGAATACAATAAATATGATGCCCATGTGTGTTATGATATACTTAGGCATGTGTATGATTAACTACTAAGTACATGGTACTAGGTGTGTGTAACATGTGTGTGCAACATAGCATTACTGTGCTGTCGGTATGCACTGACGGACACTCCATCATGGTTCACGGATGCTCCGTCAGGTTTGGGACTTAGACATCTTCGGTGTTTAGTACTCATTGGATGGTCCGTGATAGTCAATGGACACTCCGGTAAGAACTAGGAGCTCTCGGGTTATTTAGAGACCAAGCTCTATAATTCGGCGGACACTCTGGTAGTGAGCGCGGACACTCCACCAAATTATAGTATGTGAGACATAAGAGATAAGCTTAAGTGCATGAACGTAATGACATGGTGCACAAAATATGTTTCACAAACATCATATTCCCAAGGCAAGTTAACAAAACAAGTTTCATCACTTAAGAAGACCTAGAGAATAAGTTGTCTATTTATTAGACTAAAAATGCATTATGTTAAGTCAATATTAAAATATATTTTTTGGTGTCAAGATCATGCCTAGATAATAGAGAATATCCTAAAGAACACAATAAAACTTATTTCACAATTTTTGGAGTTCAAATGCATCTTATGTGACCTTTACAAGTTGGGGTTATGCTGCTGTGGTACAGCGGGTAGTCCGCCAGGGACGAACGCGTGCGCCGGAGCATTCCGCTGGGATGAACACTGGCGCCGACGCCGACGGACAGTCCACGAGAATGAATGATCCGGTAAACGACAAACAGTTCGGGTGTAAAACGTTGGAGATGATTCTCGAGGTATCTGGGCTCTAAATCGAGTATGGTTTGTTTCTATGGCTTACTAGTGATGTGGGGAAGCTTCTACAAGTGTTGAATGTGCCATGCAAGTGCTGTGGGGAGCTCAACCTTGTCAATGGTGGAAACCACCATGGATAAGACATGGAGCTCATGGGAAATCTTGCTAGGGTTGGGGAGAATGAAGATGGACTTCGGGGATGTGCTCACCATGTCCTGGGGAAGCTCTACCTACAGCAGCTCGGCCAGGAACACAGCACGGAAGGAGATCGAGTTTCAAGAGTCCTCCATGCTTGAGGTTGTAGAAGGGACTTGGGGCTTCATCTCCTTCAACTCCGGTGAGGATGAAGGGCTGGCCAACGTGGTGGAGCTGCTCGCTGGGCATCTCCAGCAGGGGCTGCTCCTCCTCCTTCCCCTTCTCCTTCTCTTCTCTCCTTTTCCTTTGTCTGTTTGCTGGACGTGTGGAATGAGAGGGATAGAGAGAGAGCTGGCTGGTGGTGTATATGTGTGAGAGAGAAGTATGACAAGTGGGCCCCAGGGGGTGTGGTGAGGACAGCTCATGTTTTGCATGTTAAAGGTGTCGGTGCAATCTGGTGGACAGTCCGCCGTGATTGACGGACGCTCCATCAGCGCACGAGCGTGTCTATGTGTGACAACGCAACACTTGCACGGGACACATGTCAACATGTGTTGACGGACAGTCCGCCATGGGTGATGGACAATCCGCCAGTGCTGGACTGTGCTTGACAGCTGTGGGCTGGCGGACACTCCGTTCTTAATGACGGACACTCCGTTGTACTGGGTACCAAGGTAGGCTATTCCTTATAGTTCATCGGACGCTCCTCCTTGAGGGACGGACGCTCCAGTATGAACTGGTCACTCTCGAGTTCACTGGCTATAAGGTTTTATAGCTCAACAGACACTCCGCGGGATACCGCGGATACTCCGTCAGTGCACGGGTTGGCCAAGATTATCATAAGTCTGTGAGATGTCTTGACGGATGATCCGGTGGTGATGTCGGACGATCCGCCAAAACTGGCAGTGCTCGGTCTTGGGTTGGCCTAGGCACAAGTCAGAGTCTAATTTAGATTAAGACATGCACACTTGGATGGTCAGAAATGACTGCCTATATGGTAACGATTTTTGGATCGTTACAACTGGGCAGAAGATTGCAAACGCCCAAAGAAACAGAAGGAGGAGAAGCGTGAGGAGGCAAATGTTGCTGTGGGGGGGGGGTTGATCATCATCCAGCCTTGCTCCTGGCGGTGGCGAGCGACATCACACATTCACTAGTTGAGGTGGTTCATCTCTCGGAGAAAAAGGTGGTGCTGGTGGAATGCCCAAAAGGTGTATGGGTGCTGGACACGGGTGCAAGCAACCACATGACTGGCTCTCGTGCAGCGCTCACTCATCTCAACGAAGGCGTTCGGGGAACGGTGCACTTTGGCGATGGCTCCAGCGTTGAAATTCATGGGCTCGGGTCCATGGTGATCCAAGGACGACAACAACATCACAAGGTACTCACTGACATTTACTATATACCAAAGCTCAAGAGTAATATTGTCAGTTTGGGTCAGCTTGAAGAAAAGGGGTTTGAAGTTTCACTGAAAAATGGTAGATGTAGTGTGCTTGATCAAGGAGGGCACACATTATTGATTTCAGCTCCTAGGACTGCTAATCTTCTTTACAATCATAAGTTCAGTCAAGTGCCACTTGTCTGTTTACTGACAAAACTAGATGATGATGCTTGGAAATGGCATGCACATTTTGGTCACCTAAATTTCAGATCTCTTAGGGATCTTGGTAGAAAGGATATGGTATCAGGCATGCCCATTGTTGATAGGGTGGAGCAAGTTTGTGATGGCTGTGTAATTGGTAAATAGCACAGGGCTCCATTCCCAAGCGTCAGTCAATATCGTGCTAAGAAGGGACTAGAATTATTTCACACTGATCTCTGTGGGCAGATTACTCCACCAACTACAGGTGGCAAATCCTATTTCTTGTTAATTGTTGATGACCACAGTAGATTCATGTGGGTTGAGATGCTAAGGTCCAAGGATGAAGCACTATCTTATTTCAAGAAGGTGAAGGCAAGGGCAGAAACTGAACTTGAAGAA